ATAGTCCATGGGCCGAGACCGTTTTTTGTACCACCAAGACGGACCAGTGCTACCGTAGATTTTTTTAATCTGCAATAACCAAAGTTTATTTTGATGTATGATAGCAAGTCTGTATGAGTAGCTTTCTTGGTGTAATCACGTGACCAAGTGACGTCATCAAAATGGACCTCGTGCCTTGGGACGAAATCCAAAGGGCCGGGAAAAAAATATCAAACATCAATAATTCTCGGCGAAAATTTGTTTGTAGACAAAACATGCCACAGTAATCACAACACAATAGATTTTTTGCCGATATTCTGCATTTTTAGGAAGTTATACGCCTTTAAACTCCGATTTTGAGGGTAATTTTTCGAGTAAAAACACATTGTTTACTTTCCAAAATCAGGCATTTATTCAGGCTACCTATGGGGCCTTGTGTAACAAGTTATGATGATTGGCCATATTATGCGCTGCATTTTGGGCTTTAAATCAACAAAATCGGTCAATGCTATCTGTAGTTACGAGTATTTAAAGCATTGCACCCCATTAGGCTGATTATCAAATCGGCGTGAATATCGCAATGCATCATGGGTAATTTGAAGACAGTGAGACTAACAAAATACGTCCTGTGCCCTGGCATTAAACCCAATTGACCTGAAATTTGGTATGGGCGTGCCTTGGACATCTACCCATAGGACGTTGTTAACGTTTATGTCATTAACAACGTGAAATGACTTATTTTTGACTTTTCAGCTACTTTCCGACCACAAATGGTTAACTTGAGAAGCCTATAAGTTATATACCATTATCATATAGCCGGGTGACGTTGACCAATCAGAAGGCTCCATTCCACATTCTTTATGTCGCCGTAATGTCACAAATAGAGTCAAAATCGGGTATTTATTCATCCAAATCCATACATTAAACAAACCCAATAGTCACCCGCATATGACCTCAGGTGACCCAATAGAACACGGCTCTAGTTCTAAAAAATCCAAAAATAAACTAAGTTGTGTTCCAATGACCACGGATGACTTCCATAAGAACACCCGTTCCCTGCCTGTGACCTAGTTAACGTGAACTCTACCCAGTGACCTCAGGTGACTCCAGATGGAACTATGTTCTATGTTCTATTCAGCATGTGCATTGTGTCACTTACTGCATCAGTTTGGATAGGCTATCGTGTAAGCTATATGATAATAGCGTTAATGTCCCGCCCTTTCTCGGTGAATATGGTGTGATAAAGCCTTGTCAGTTGCTATAACCACCTCATAAAGCCACCTCGTTCGGCTGCGCTCACTTGGTGGCTTTATTCTGTCGGTTATAGCAACTGACAAGGCTTTATCACACCATATTCACCTCGGGCGGGGTCATTAACCCTTAATTGATGTTAGTTATAAGCAAACACCTGTGGTATTTCTGGACACTGTAGCAATATCAATTCGATTCTTTTTAGAATCTTCGAATGTTCGAGCGCGTTCGCGAATGGTATTCTTTCAACAGTTTTCATTACAAAAAGATAGCTAACACCAGTAATGGACGTGCTCGTGTTACCCGCCTTGAAATGTATACCTCTACTGTCGCTACTTTGGAGAATGTGATCTTTCTGATCCCTACGAGCCATGCCGCTCTACCGTTCCCGCAGTTGCAGTGCACCCGGGCAACCACGTAAGTGGATAATTTGTTCATTTTTAGAAGGACACTGTTACGACATATGTCATTCAATTTGAAATGTATTTTAAGATCCATTTTATTTGTTTTCTTTAAACACAGTACTCAGACTTCACAAGTTCAAAATCATAAAGTGATTTTATCCACCTTATCTCTTATTGATCTCAAAGGAGCAAAACGAGGAGCTGTAGAGATAAACGAAGAAGGTTCGAAGAAACGACAACGGAAAGAAAACCAATGTGCCATTCATTGTACTGACGAAACGACAAGTCTAGCCTCCTTAAAAGATCTTGACTCATGGAAAACGCTCCTCAATGCAGCTGTTATTCGAAACCATAAGGGCATTCTTGATATCGCAAAAACTGTGAAGGAAGGAGAACTACCACAAATTTCGTATCACAGGAAATGTCGCAGCATTTTCACGTTGAAGAGGGATCTTGAAAAGCTTTCACAAACTCCCATCAAAGTCGAAGAACAGGATAGCAAAGCTAGCCCTAGATCGTCTCCACGACAACCCACAACCCCTCAAGGTAGAGTCTACCAGCGGATTTGTGTATTTTGCGAAAAGTCGAAATACCTGAAAGGAACGAAAACTAGAGAGGCACTTATTCAGTGTGTTGATTTACGTGCCGACCACACGATCAGAAGAGCCGCTGTTAGTAAAAATGACCCCAGAATACTTGCTATCGTTACGAGAGAGCTTGTTGCGGCAGAGGCATGCTATCATAAAACTTGCTACCGAGACTACACTCGTGACGTTCAGGATCAAACAGGTGTTGGGAAGAACGCAGAAGACGAGCACCTTGATTGTTCCAACGCAGAGTCGCAAGCGTTTATGATACTGTATGACTACATCAGATCTGATCTGCTGCAGAATCCAAAGATAGTCAGCATGACGCAGTTGTATATGAAATTCGCATCATTTGTCAATTCGCAAGGGGTAAAGGAAGTCAAAGATTCCACGAGGACACACTTCAGGAGAAAACTTGAAGCAGAATTCCATGACACGTTAGACTTTGAAGAGCTCTTTGGCAATAACAAAGTTTTTGTTATCCCGCGAAGTCTCTCCAGGCTGGATCTAGCCAGGTTTGCTGCAGACAAGTGCAACACGGATGAAGAACATCGAAAACCGCGCTCCGCTTACGGGAAGCAATCCAGGGACAAGAGAGCAAAGTGTCATGGCCGCCTAAACCTTGTGAACTGACAGAACATGCTGTGAGCATTCCAGATAATGTGAAAGAGTTCTTGTACGTTCTGCTGACAGGCAAAACGGAATTCCCGGGTCTGCAGTCTTGTCCTGAAAGGGTTACACGCCTTCTGATGTCGTTTGGACAGGACTTAGTATTCGCAGTGAGCGGTGGACGGCAGAGGCCCCCTAAGCACATTTTGCTTCCATATGCCGTAAAATCACTCACAAACAATACTCAACTCATTCAAATCCTAAACCGATGTGGTCATGGAATTGCATATTCGCAACTTGAAGAGATAAATACTGCACTGTGCCTTCAAAAGATGGCAACAGCCTCTTGTCACGAAGTTCCCCTGCCCGAAAGCATTCGCCCACACATCTGTACCACTCTGGCCTGGGACAACATAGATCGTCTCGAGGAGACATTGTCAGGAGAAGGAACGTCACACAGAGTGAATGGTATAGCTGTGCAAGCGAACCATTTTGGGCCCCATCTTCCTCCTCGTACTTCAACACCACCTTTATCTAAATCAAAGAAGAGGAGCATCGAGTCGATGGGGGACATCACTCTGCCTATCTACAATGCCGGGGAGAGATGTGGACCTCCTTGTAGAAAATATGTGGAGGTGACATCATGGCAGGAGGAGGCATGGAGAAAGAACCTACTATGGATCTTAGTGCGCATACATGCAAGAGGAAAGCAAACCATCCCTGGCTGGACTGGATTCAACATTCTTGTCCGAAATGACCAAGAGGTCACAACAGATAAGGTGGGTTATCTTCCCACTATAAATGCCCCAGCAACGAACATGTCTACTGTATACGAAGTAATGAAGAAGTCACTACAGATCAAAGAATCCTTGAATCTCAGAAGCATTGCAGTTGTGTTTGATCAAGCTCTGTACGCCAAAGCTATAGAAATCAAGTGGAAACACGGATCCCTGTTTAATGACCTAGTGCTGAGAATGGGAGTATTCCACACAATCTGCACATTCTTGTCGGTGATTGGCAAGCGCTTTGAAGACGCCGGCTTACGAGACGTATGCGTTGAATCTGGGATCATTGCTGAAGGATCCGTACCTGGCGTGATGGGAGGTCGCAAGTATAACCGTGCCATACGGTTTCATAAGCTAATGTTTGAAGCTCTCAACAGGCTGGCGTGGACGGGGTTCCTGTCATGGACAGAGGAGCATTATGAAGGGACAAAGCCTCTTGTTGATGATTTCTTCACAGAACTGGAATCACTCCATGGAAATCCATGCGAACAAGAATTCAACGGCATCATGGCAAGCCCATCATTTGAAGTTGTATCAGATCTCTTCAGCGCCTATCTTCACTATCTCCGTCATGAAAACGGGAAGCTTTCAACGTTTTGGATGTCTTATGTCGACATGGTGCAGTTGCTACTGGGACTGTTGAGAGGGACTCGTGAGGGAGATTGGGATCTTCACC